TTTTTAGGTGTAATTTGCAATGTGAACCAATCTGACTTTTTTCAAATATTGCATATTAAGATTAGTAATCTTTACCTTCTCTTATTAAATACACTTAAACACTGAGATCAGTTAAAATTTCATGACTTGTTTTTTTTATCCTTTTTTCCATCTCTAGATCGGACTGCAGCTCACAAGGATGTGTGCTTCACGCGAATTGAGGAGGGCTGGATCTGCAGCGAGCCCCAGAACCGGGTGGTGACGTATTCAGAGTGCTGCTGTCACTTCGGCCGTGGCTGGGGGCCCGAGTGTAACAGCTGCCCTCCCAGAAACTCAGGTGAGCTACTGAAAACTTGCCAGACCTCTTTAGGACTTAATCCATTTATTGAATTAACAAGAATTTTATCTGTTTTACCCAGCAATGTTCAGCCATCTGTGTGGGATGCATCTTGAGACGGAGTCAGACGGGGAACAGGATTTGCAGGCAGCTTTTCCCAACTACAACCCGGGTAACACTCAATGACAGTTTTTCTTAAAAATCAGTGATAGCTGAAACATTCCTGCCCTCAGACAAAGCTTATTTATTTACCTCTTTCTGCCCCCATTTTCTCTTTTCCCCTGGTTCGTTTTGTGAAAAGGTGACAGTTCAGAAGAAGATTCTGACGAATGCAGCTGCGGACATGGCCGCTGTGTCCGTTCCTACCTGGGCACTATGTGTGAATGTAACCCAGGCTTTAGGCTAGACTACTCGCGTGCTCGCTGTATAGGTCTGTCCTACATATACACTACAAAAATGCAAATACACATATTCTTTTAGTCCTAGATTCTCTTATTAGTGCATGTACAGCAGCCAATGTGCAGATTATAACTTTGTTCTGTCAACTAATGTTTGGATTTCTGTTTTATGGCTCATTGTCACTAATGAATACTTGTTTTTCTTTGTTCCAGACATTGACGAGTGTGCAGAACCAGATGTCCGTGTTAGTCCGTGCAAGAACGCTCGCTGTGTGAACACTTCTGGCTCGTACAAGTGCTTGTGCAAGCAAGGCTTTGTGCACACGCGTAGGCCAAACGTGTGCATCCGTCGCAGAACTCGGTAACCTCTGTGCGTTGCTCTGCGTGCCGCTACGTCTCTCCCCATCTACGCGGCGTGCACAAACAACCCAGCACGTGCAGCTCTTACACTCCTCTCTCATGGTACATACATGGGACTGTGTGAACGCAGTAAACATACAAACATGTTGTCATCGGGAGCCACGTCATAACAATATAAAATGTACAAAACATATCATTGTCAGCCCCCTTTTCATTGGCCAGTCCACATTTTAAAAAAATCTGCAACACAGATAAGGAATATGTTTGTTTATTTGTGCGCTAAAAGTATTTTGTAATTATTTTTTTATTTCGAACTGTTTTTGTAGTTTAAATTGTGCATTTTGTGATTTTTGTCATTGACCTCCCAGTTGCTTTTATCTTCTTTTGAATTTTTGATTCAAACAATGAGGAAATGAGTTTCAAACATTTCAATGGTATTATAATTGTCTTTAACCTATTCAGTAGTTGTATATTGTAGGAATGCCTTGTGGTATTCCCATTTACATTCCCAGTTGCATCCACATTCTTTCATGTTTAAGTCATCTGAATTTTATTTCCTTGCCACACGTTGTTGACATTGTTTTTTTGTACAGTTTGTTTCGTGGATTGGTCCCTGTCCTCCCCTTCTTTATTTGTTTATGTAAAATATGAGAAACCTGAGGTTTTTGTATAATTTGACATGTGCACCTAAGTGGACTTAAGCTTGATAAAAACATTTCATGCACTTAGCAATAAATATAGTGGAAATATTTGCGAAATATAGCTTATTCTGAAAAAGAAATCAAGCAAGTTTAACACCTATTGCCATTAAACACTGCATTAAAGTATTTAGAAAGCCAAAGATGCTGTTGTGATAAGAAGAATTTGATTAAAAAAATGACAACCTTTCATGCATTTGTTTTTCTTCTGTTTGAGGGAAATGTGTTTTTTGTCCACACATATGAAGATATGTGGAAAATAGCAATGCTTTAAGTTCAGACAGACACATTCAGGCAGGGAGGCACAAAGTTCTCCCACAGTCATGTTCAGAAATATGCCGGACCGGACTGTGGATGATTCAGTGTTGCCTTTCAAGCACGCCTAGAAAGCAAATAAACCCAGTGCATGGCAGAGTCTCCCAAGATCTTCCATTAGATTTATGTTCATGTGCTTTTTTTTCCTCCACACACAGTACTGATTTCACATTTTAAAGGTACAGTCAGATCATTTTTGAGTTTATTTAAAAAGAAAAATAGAATGTTGTACTCATAAATGCACCTTAATTAGTGTGTAATTACATCCGCTTATTCTCATGAGCTTAGAAATAATTCATAAAAAAAACATAGGAGTGGGCTTGTGGAAGCCATCATGCTGCCCCACCAACTTGAATACAGTTCAATCTAAATGCATTTTTATATGTGTGTACAAACCTGCCAATCTTCTTCCTCCTCACCTCAAGTGAGCTAAAGTCAGGGATCTAACTGGGGTTTTCCCGATGCTAGAATTTCAGACTTGTAAACCAGGAAAATGCTTAATACTCAATACCATTTTTAATAGCACAAGCAAGATTTTTATTGTATCCTCACACAAAATAAGTACGATGGAGAAGTAACTCCTTAGAATTGGAACAAATGTTCCGAATTATATTTAACAAAATAAGCATTTAAGTTTAAAGTTTTATATTTTACAAATATTCTGATAATTTCATTAGCAAGCCATTTTAACTACAACAAAAGCTGGTTATAACCTAAGATTGTTGTTTTTCAATAAGTGTGTGAGTTCAACAATGTCCAGCAGTTTACTAACGACAGCTACCAGTAGCTACCAGGAGCTAATAGCAGCTAACAGAGGCTAACAGCACTTAACCGTAGCAGAAACAGCAGCGCTTAATAACAGAAAAGTTCAGGATATCCTCAACAACTCACCTCAGTATCGCTATGAGGCAGAAGTGAGCTTTACTAGGTCATTGACTTGTATCCTGCACCTTTCACAAAGTTTTACAGTGTCCTCCAGAGTAAATACAGATGAATGGTGCCCAGAGTGTTTGTCCTACGGTGGCCACCATAGCTCGGATTGCGAACTTAATTATGCAGTTCAACTGGTAAGTAAGACAGCAGAACTCAGTTGATTGCAATCTGCAATCTTCTCATATTTAGTAGTGAGATTTTAAATACTGTAAGCTTAAACATTCTGCAGCATCAGGAAGTGTTTATAGATAGATTTGGTTATATTCAATAAAAAAGTTTCAAGTAGTAACACAGGACAAATGTAGCCATTCCTCTAAGTGCTGAAAATGAGGTCCTACAGATGTTGGATATCAAACCTTGAAAGTCTTGTCCATAATCATTTTCTACAAGTTAATTTTTATCTGAATCTTAATCTCAAGTTTCAAACACAATCAGTTTAAACTAGGGCTAAACTATGCAAAATGCTCATGAAGTGGTGAAAATGATATCCTAAACTTAAAAGCCCACAAATGTTATCAGCTACCTAAATAATGGCACCATCTTGTGGTCTCTTTGTGTCACTATAATTCCTTC